ATTTTTTGAACTGAAAATTTGTTTTGGAAAAAGCGAACGAAACGAGAAATAGGAAAATTAAAAATAAATACATTTAATATCTATTGAGCCACTTCTTTAAGTTTTTTGAAATCATTTGTTTGTATTTATTAGATTTAATTTACAACCAATGATGACCGATGATCAAATAACTGATTCTTCAGTAACGTTTATTTAAGAAACTTCGAATGAAAAAAAAAAAAACAATGAAATATATATAATTTCATTTTTACTGTGCAAATAAGTGGAGCAAATAATAAAAGACAAGAAAGATGATCATCACCTTTCTTTTGCTTTCTCAAAAAATTCTGAACTAAATACAAAAGTATGCTTCTATAATTGCAGTTTCAGTTTTCTCAAAAAATTCTCAACTAAATACAAAAGTATGCTTCTATAATTGCAGTTTCAGTTTTCTCAAAAAATTCTGAACTAAATACAAAAGTATGCTTCTATAATTACAGTTTTCAGCCCTGGCAGTGGCAACAGCATACAAGTATGTACAACGAATTCTGCCAGCTACAAAAAATTATACATTATAATGTTGGTCCCATAAATTGGAGTTGTTTTATTACTGGGTCAGTGTTAAAAGTCGGTTTTGTAAGAACAACACAACTATATATCATAATTGCATGCGATGTAGTGCCGGGGAAAGTACATCTTGGAATCTAACTAATATAACAAACCGTTTCTTTTTTTAATTTGTGTAATGTATGTAACTTGCAAGCAACACGTTGTCTTTTGTTACTTAAATGAAGAAAGGGAGTCATATGTAAGAAGGGAAACAAAACAAAAACAATATAGAACGCTACAGTCGAGCAAGCCCGACAGTAAAATAGCCTGTACTCTCCACAAAAAAACAAATTTAAAAAAAAATGAAATAAAAACACGAATTGCGGGGGAGTGGGGGGTGTATAAAAATAAAAAAATAAACTTGACCTGCCTAGGGCTTAGGGGAACCTGGATACCAAGTTTGGTAATTCTAGCTCTTGTACCTTCTGAGATCCTTGCGCTCATACAGACGGACGGACGGACATGGCTAAATCGACTCGGCTTGTCACCCTGATCAAGAATATATATACTTTGTTGGGTCTGCCACGCCTCCTTCTGTGTGTTACATACATTCGCACAAAACTAGTGTAGCCTTTCACCCTTTGGGTACAGGCTATAAATACTAATAAGGTTTTCGAATAAATTTACAGACATTTAAAAAGACTTGTGCAGAGGAAATATATTGTACAGCAGGATTGAAATGTTTCGAAAGACATTTTCCAAATAAGGCTTTGGAAAAAGCAGCAACTAAATTAATATCTCGAAATGCTGAATTTGAATTGAATATTAGCCCTAATGGAGAACTAACCCTAACATACCGCCGTTGTAGTAAGTGGAGATATTAAAACGGTTATTCATTTAATTTTCTTGTCCAGAAAACTCATTTCTTCTTGATCAAAACGTAAATTTTTTATTTATTAACTTTGACGAAGAGATAAAATGCTTACTAAAAATGTAATTTTAGATCGTTTCATAGTTTAATTCAATCTCGTAGGAAATAAATATGCATATGTCAATACTGTAATAGTCATTAAAAAAAAAAGTCCACAAGTAGGGTGGACAAACTTCTGGCACCTCTTCCCTACGCCCAATGCACGAAGGTCCTTGCAGCTATAATATCTCTTCTTATACAATCAATTAAATATTCTCAAAGTGCCATTAAAAGCCATTTGATTGACCTACATATTGTTTTACTTTCTGGCTGCAAAGAACGTGTTTCTGTTTGAACTCAATAATATGCTATATGTTGATGAAATGTCCTTAAGGTTTGTGAAGTGCGTTCTGTTGCCTTTAAGACTGCTGCTGTAATTCTTTGTTACGGCCACACTAGCGAGCACTTCTCAGACGCGTCCAGTAATTTTATTTTAAAAGTTGAAACATTTTTACAAGCTCAAACGCCATTTAAACTAATTAAAAGCCTCGGTCTCGTATTCAGCTCGACAAAGTGTTGTAATAAATATATATACCCGTACGTACTTTTTTTGCATTTTCAGAAAGTTAACCTTTGATTCAATTTATAAACTTCGATAAAAAAAAAATAAATAAAACTCACACACTCTGCAGAAAAGTAAAACCAAAAAAAAAAAAAAAAAAAAATAAAGTTTACAAAAATACTACCGATGAAGAAGACAACGGAAAAAGTTTCGCGCACACAGGCTGGCGAAGTGTACTTTGTGTAAAGGCTAACGACATCCTTTGAAACTCGCAAATAATCCCGCAAAACCGAAAGCTTAACTTTTTCACCATTTATGCTGGCCAAGGTTGGTTTTTGTTTGTGTCAAAGCCTTTTTGCAATTTCCCAGTTTAACAGTTAACTTAAAATGTCACCACTGTCTGAACGTGTGCCAAAAGCTCAAAACAACAAAATAGCAACACCACATCCATATAAAAACAGCCACAACACAATGTCATCAAACTGATGGATGAGTGGATAGATAAAGGGATATACTTGTAGTTGCTGGAATAGTTGCTAGAAAACTCACAGACAGGACAATTGAGAATGCGGTTTAAGCTAAAAACTTACTTTCTGTTGGCTTACAATGTCCGGCTGAACGTTAGCCATAATGTTGATACATAAATAATGTTAATAACAAATATTATGATTCTAAATTGTAATATTATATTGACACTTGGTTTTGTGGAATATTAGGAACATTTCAACAGAACCAAAAAAATTTGAAATTATTTGCTATACATTCTTAAATTTAATCGTAATGTTTTAATGACAATATAAATATTTGAACCACAGCCAAACAAATTGAAAAGTAATTTTTTATCATAATACAAATAATATAAAGCATATTTATGCGTATCGTGTAAATCCCTAGAATTGTTGTGCCTTTCAAATAATTTCTGTGATTTCATTTTTCGGCATCTCAATATCGAAAATAGGAATTACTTCTTTGAAAATAAATTTTATTTTTGATTATATATCAAATCTGTGTTGTCCTTTTTCGTTAATAATCCGAAAAATTCGTAAAACAAGGCAAAAGTTAATTTCTTTGGCATCAACAAAAAAAAAAAAAAATTTTAACAATTTGTAGAATTAATTTTATTTAAATTATTTAAATAAGTGTTTGATCAAAAAGAATTCCAATACACACAAAAATAAATATTTCAAGCAATTTGCATTCCGGTTTCTCGACTGATTTCGCTGTCAACACTAAACTCCAATAACTGTCGAGATATTTTTAAAATAAAACTTTATTTAAAAAATATTTTTTTCTATCCATCTTCTGTCTTGTTTATTGTTATATAAAAATACATAAATATAGTAAATTTGTTGTAATATTTAATTTTGTTTCATTTTAGGGATGTGCCTTGGCTTTTCCATATTTTACATTTCTCTCCACTTGTACCTTCGACGGCTTAAATGCGGCTTAAATGCAAATTATTGTTAGCACTTACGTTACGTATTTATTTGCTATACGGCTTATTCCACTCAGCTGGCCGCCTGCCAGGCCTGCCTGTCAAGCTCGTCCTTGCGTTAACAAACATTACCAATAAACGTATGTAGATGTGTGTGTGTGTGTGTGCAGGTGCATTCGATGCTTTCTTTCCCGTTTGTTTATTTATGTATTTATTGTAATAATATTAGTTTTGCATTTGTTTGCTAGCACAAATAAACAAAATAGCACAGCAATATCTTCTGTTTTTGCTTGCAAAATGTGCTCCCACCACCCGTTGCTGGCCAGGCTGTGATTGTTCGCTTGGCAGTTCCGGAAACAAGATTAATGCAATTGGGAAATCTGGCATTGGGAATATTTGGCTTCGCCTCGCCTCGCCTGGTCAGCCACTTCTATTTGCGTTTGCTTTTGCTTCCTTTCTTTATTTCTGTATTTCATTATGTGTACGTGTATATGTATGTATTAGTATTAGATTTTCTCCAAGTGTTTTCCATTACAAGCGCAAATTCCTTTGGTAAACAAACGAAGTTATCGCACATACGATAATGTGCGAACAATAACATAGGTCATAGTTTTATTCTATTTGATTTTATTATTTGCCAATGCTCATGACTTTTACGAATTCGTATCTATATGTAGATATGTACTTATATCAAAGAATCACACGAAACAAAAGTTTATTTTAAAGACAAGCGGAAATGGAGATGAAAGCAAGGCAGCACAATTTCTCCTTTCAGCTCAATCATGTTTAAATATAATTCTTTAAAAAAGTTTACCATTCAGATTATTGGAAATTGAGAACATACTATATTTTCAAAAAACAAAAATCAAGTAAGCCGTTGCTTTGCAACAGCAATTTGTGGAATCAAAGGACCCCATGCAGCTAGCTATTCATATGTTCTTCAAACTGAAAAAAAATAATGAATGGAAATGTACTGTAGGATGACTATTTGGGCGTCTAGGTCCACAAATAAAAATTTCATCAATTTTGACGAATTTTCTTTACGTTTTATTTATGGTGATTGTGAACTTTTTCTCATATAAAAATCAATGAAAACTTTGGTGCTATATTTTAAGATATTTCAATAAAAGCCTTTGTTTAGCATCAGCAATTTATGGAATCCAAAGACCCCATGCAGCTAGCCATTCATATGTTCTTCAAGCCTGAAAAAATCATGTTTTAAATCGAAATGTACTGCAGGATGGCCTTACAGCTGGATGACTATTTGGCATATACGCCCACAAAAAAAAATAAAAATAAAAAAATGAAAATAAATAAATAAATGAATTATTCAATTTTAACGAATCCCTATTTGTTTACCTTTTAATTATTTTGACTGTGAACTTTTTCTCATATAAAAATCAATGAAAACTTTGTTGGACCATGTGCTATATTTTAAGATATTTCAATAAAGGCCATTCATATGTTCTTCAAGCCTTAAAAAATCATGTTTTAAATGGAATGGTTTGGTCCACACAAATAATGTCATCAATTTAGACTTTTCTCATATAAAAATCAATGAAAACTTTGTTGGACCATGTGCTACTTGTATATTTTAAGATATTTTAAATGAAACAGGTAATATTTATTTAGTCTCTTTTGATGTTGATTCCTTCACCTCGTACGGTCCAAAGGCACGCACATGCTCACGAATGCGCACCGCATTGATGGCTATGAAGCCGCCGGCATCCTGAGGTACATAGCCGCCGTGGACGTCCATCGAGACCAACTGCTCGTTGTAAAGGCCACCCGATGCGGCGGCTGCTTTGCGCGCCACAGCACGACAATATCCGGGAGCCAATTCAACGGTAACCTGCCCGCTGACCCGTTCCTGGGCCAACTCAATACAGCGACGCACATAAAGGGCCTCTGGACTGAACCAGAAACCATTGTAGACGTAATCGGCCATACGATCACGTAACAACTGTTTTGTACGTAAGACCTCGCGATCCAAAGAGAATACCTCCAGGTCCTGGTGAGCCGTATAAAGTATGGTACCGCCCGGTGTTTCGTATACACCCCGCGATTTGAGGCCCACATAACGATTCTCCACAATGTCAATGCGTCCGATACCGTACGTACCCCCCAGATCGTTGAGGAACTTCAGTATCTCCAGTGGTGTGCTATACACGCGACTGCTGGCCAAGTCCTCCACATGTGTGGGTAGACCGCGTTCGAAATAAATGGTGAGGCGTACAGTCCGTTGCGGTGCCTGAGTTAATGGATCAACGGTTAACTCATACAGGCTGCTGGGTGCCACATGGGATGGATCTTCAAGGACACCGGACTCGTAGCTAATATGCATTATATTGGCATCAGTGCTCCACGGTGCTGTTGGCTTGGCGCTCACTTCAATTCCAGATTCACGGGCGTACTCAATCAGATCCAAACGACCTTGAAAACGGCTACAAAACTCAACGTCGCGCCATGGAGCAATTATCTGAAACATAAAATTCGTGAAAGATGAGAGTATACACTGAGAAAAATGCAGCGATTCGAAACGAATACGCTTTGATTTGTGACATTTTGTAAATCAGACTTTTATGTTTAAACAATTCTTCTCATTATATATTAATATTTTTAATTATGTTAATATATTATTAAACCCTGTTTTTTAAATATTTTTCGAGCATGGAATTTCTTTAAAAAAAAGAAAGTTCGAACCAAAGTGAATTTTAAATCGAAGCTGAAGCTTAGTATAATTCCCTGGCATAAAACGTACTTTTTAATGGAATTTTTAAATAAAACATTAAATTAAGATAAGTATGCCCGTCTATCCGTCTGCTTCAATCATCGATTTCTTTTGAGCCATTACAGCAAGGCACACTGACCTTGGCAAAAAAAAAGCTTATCTTATCAATAGGCACAGCAAGTTTCTTTTAATAATATTCTACTTATATATTTCATATGCAATTTTGGTTTAAACATTACTTTTAGTTAAACAACTTGTCTTTGCTTATTTAAGATCTATATTGTAAATTTGGTATTTAAAAGTTTTTTTAATGCTTCTATATAATCCGAAATTTCATGTAAATGGATTGGCAATTGTTTCAAATATTATTTATAGCAACTTTTAGATGGGAAATAGTTACCTCGTATCCTGCTATCGCTCCTACGTACATACCTTAAGATTTGGCTGCAGAGCATAGGCGCAAAGTTCAAAGCGCACCTGATCGTTGCCCTTTCCGGTAGCGCCATGTGCCAAATACTTAGCGCCGTGCTCTTGGGCTGCTTTAACCAAAGCTACACTAATGCAGGGACGCGCCAATGAGGTGCCCAGCAGATAGCGTTCTTCGTATATGAGGCCCATCTGTACTGCCGGCCAGATGTAGTGCTCTACAAAGCTCTGCTTAACATCGGCGACTATAACCTGTGGGAGAGCGTAGCAAACATTATCTGCGACTATCGCTAGCTTCACAGTTGCTTACCTTCTGGGCGCCTATCTTCAAAGCCTTCTGACGCGCGGCCTCAAAGTCCTCCTGCTGTCCCACATCGGCCATTACACAGATTACTTCGTACTTTTTCTCCAGCAACCATTTTAGGATGCAACTCGTATCCAGACCACCCGAATAGGCCAATATTACTTTTTCGATCGCCATTACGCTGTTGCTCTCACTGCTGACAAGCTCCAAGAATAACTGAAGGCAGTAGTTTCAACAAAACAGACCCTAGACCTATAGGCTATAGCGGCTGCTAAGTGGGCTTATCAGTCCCAGTGACTCTCTCGGAGACCGGCGCATCTCCATAGATAGGCGCAATCACCTGCCAGCCCCTTGATAAGCACGTTTGCGAGTTTGTAAACAAATTAAAACAGCTTAGTTGCTCAACTAGACAACAACACACAGACATACATACATACATATACAAATGAATTGGTTTATTTATACGACTTTGTATGAAAGTACTTGGCTTTTAAATAATTATAATTCAGTAATATGATTCTTCTATCTTTCCATATGAAAATTAAAGAGTTGTTGAGTACTTTTTGTAAAATACATCAAAATGTAAAAATACACTGTTTATAGTCGTTTATATTTAGCTTTTTCTTTGTTGCATCAATAGCTGATTTAGCCTTTTACTAAATATTTTGAAGCAATGTATGTATATCAATAAACTGAGATAGGGGAAGTACACGAAATATAGCTGTGACTGTTCCATAACATTTCATGCCAGTGTTGATGAAAATTATAATATTTTAATAACAGTGACAACTGTGACTGCAATTTATTGCTGTGTTTGAAAGATACTAAAGTACAGCGAATAGAGTTTTAATTATTTCGGTAAAAAAATAGAGATTTTGAGTAAAACTCAAATGTGCTTACATCACTTACGCACATTTTTCCAGTAAGATTTCCATATCATTTTATTTGAAACAATCAAAATGCATATAAATCAGCTGAATTGCCATTGTCTTAAACACAAGCTTTTTATGAATTTTCTAAGTATTTCTTTCAATAAAATTTTAAAATTCCTGCAATTCTGCTAAACATTGAAAAAACAGATTATTTAATCACTACAATTTTGCAATCACTGCAATTGAGTCGCAGCTTATGGTCCTTTCACAACACTGGTACACAAATTACGTTGCCTTCCCATCATTAAGCCGCGTGTAGCGGCTTACGATGGTGATGCGTAAGTAGTTCTAGATATTTGACAATTCAGTATTCTGCAGAAAATATGGATGTTTTTTTATCGTGTAGCTTTGAAGTGTCACAAGAATGGATAGAACCTTTCCTTCCTACAGCTTTTATAGGTAAATTCAGTAAATATTCGTGTAATGAGCTGGATCTTCAAAAAGTTCCCATTAATGCTCAGGAAACTGAAGCAATACTCGAAGAGTATTTCTGGTTTTACACCAACTTCAGTTATGAAACGTTCGTAATCTGTCCGTATATAAGAAAATGGGTACCCCGAGCTGAGCTCAAAAAAATATATGCCAAAAAGGTAAAATATTAGCCTCGAAATTGATCAACTATTATAAAATGTTTTCACCCAAAGGGTGACTGAGGGCTTCTTCAAAGTATCTGATAATAATACATCTGTTATCATTCAAGATTTTATCCTAGTTATTGGTTTTATTTTATAATTTTAAAAAATTTAACTGTTTAGTATCGATATTATACTTTATATTTCATTCAAATTATTTCGCCGATATTTAGTATTTTCGATATAATATTCAACGCGATATTTTGTCTTATATTAATAGCCATATGCATCCCTACGACATGAATATAATCTTTCAACTTTTCCCGCTAAATGTGAATTGTTTTACCTTAAACTACTGGAATCCCCTGATTTAATATGTATTTTTATGCGCGTTTATGACTGCATAAAGGGCTTTGCTTAGCCCATCAAAACGTCTTATGATTAGTTTGCGAAAGTTTTCTATACGAACAAGAACTAATGATGATGACGCGTAAGTGTAGTGATATAAAATATTGTTTTTGAAATAATTTTATCATTGTAGCGATGAAGTGGCAAGAACTTTTAAACGCTGTGGCTGCAGCCGATTCACTCAAAGAGTCAATGGACAACGTTGTTGTAAAACAAACTCTGGAGCAAACCTTAAACTCGGTAATCCATGACAGGAATATTTGCTTGCATGTGTTCGGCTCGCGAATTCTGGGTACAGCTCAATTGGGCTCCGACTTGGATATCTTCGTAGAAATTGGTTTGTGTTTGGCGGCGTTTTTACCAACCACATAGCACCTACCGGGATTTCTGTATACATTTTTTTTACACAGATCATAGTTTCGGAGAATATTCCTTCTGGCCGGAAAGCAAAGTTTATGAAAGGCAAAGGTTGATTGCAGATGTAATTCGCAAATCATCTGAATGGTTAATTTTGGAAGTCGTCAATGCCAGATGTCCCATAGTAATTGCCAAACACAAAGCGACCGGTATTCCGTGTGACTTAAGCTTCTCTTCTGGACTTATTACTGATCAGAATATACTGGTGAATTACATTTTTAAACTCCAGCCGATGGGTAAGGATTAGGTCTACAGTAAAATTATATTTATTTCTTCTGGGTCTCATCAAAAATAGCGCGCTATATGACAATTTATCTGCGAGATGTGGTAGCTGAATACGGGTTAAAAAGTAAATTTCGTACCCATATACTCATCCTGATGGTCATACTGTTTTTCCAAGTAGAAAAACTACTGCCCGGCATTGATAAGCTTCAAACAAATCTTAGCCCAAGTGTTGGCCGTAAGTATTCAATTTTAATGAAAATTAAATGAAATCCCTAATTTAAGTTATGTATTTATATTTACAGCTTGGATAACCAAATTTAACAAATTTTCACTCGCAAAATTTGGAATGCAGCAAGTAGACCTTAATCAAGAAAAAATGAATGAGCTCCTAAAAAAATTCTATGGGTTTTATGGCTCCTTTGATTTTGAGACACTCGTTGTTTGTCCCTATTTGGGAAAACCTGTACATAAATTACAACTCGCCGATCAAATGCCACAAAGGTGATTACAACTAACCCAAAATAAATTGTTGAACTCTATATATATATTTATGTATGTATTCACCATTTAACAGATATAAAACAACTTCCATGAGCATGTCGTCTCCAGTCATCCAGGATATTGTGGAGCTAAACAATAACAAAGGGTACCCAGTTAATTTAATCAGTCTCGCCTCTTTCAAAAGACTGTGCAGAAAGGAGTCTTAAATGATAATCTATTCGTATTAAGACACGTACAAATGAAATACCTTATTTTTATATTTATAATTTACATTATGAAGTTTAAATAATTCGAATTCAAATACAACTGCAACGTCTGCAAATCGCGATATACGTTAATCAGCTGATTGCGGTGGACGAAATGCCAACCTACGAGAATTGGGAGAGTGGGCAGCCCTATTTCATACTTAAGTAAGAAGAAGAGCCGATGTCAGAAAAAGTTGAGCGAATAAAAGTAAAATAATTTCCTGTAAACATTGTGTGTTTTTGTGAAAATAAATAGGATGAAAATTGTTTTTACAAACCTCCTACATTGGTGTTAACGTAATTTTGCGGGTTAGATTTATTAACTCAACGAGTAGGAACATAAAATGTCCGCGTCGGACAGCGATGATGAGGGCTCCATTGGGAATGGAGGCGGCGACGTGGGTATGGACTTGACCGGCATTCTCTTTGGTAATATTGACTCGGAGGGTAAGCTTATGGACGATGATGGAGGCGCACACGCATTTGACGCCGAATTGCGCGAAAATCTAAGTTCCCTGTCAAAGTAAGTGCTGCCTATATATGCATATATGTATGTACATATGTATGTATATACGTATGAACAAATTTAGCTGCAGCAAAACAATTAAAACATTTGAACATTTCAGATTAGGATTGAATTCTCTGTTGCATGAGGTAATTGATCAGGACGGCGAGGCCACATCCGAGGACGAAGCAGACAAACCCAACAAAGATGCCAGTTTAAGTGCTTTCGATGCCTTAAAGGCTAGTCTAAGCAATGATGGCAATGAAGAAGACGGCGCCATTAAAGCACAAGAGGACGCCATTGACTATTCCGACATCAACGAATTGTCCGAGGACTGTCCACGCTCGCCGCCAGCTCAGCCAACAAATTTGTCTTCGTATGACGACCTGGAAGATGCTATTCCAGCTTCTAAGGTGGAGGCCAAGCCCAGTAAGTCGTGCACTGAGTTCATAATTGTTAAGGGCAATAAAAAATCTGTTTTATGGAAATAGCTAAGGATGACAAGGAACTAATGCCGCCACCAAGTGCGCCGATGCGTAGTGCGGCTTCAGGCAGCGGTGATGAGGCCAGTGCACCAACAAAACCAACACAAAACGATGCAGCCAGTACCGTGGACGCAAAAACCAGTGATGATAAAAGTAAGACGGCACAGCAAATTCTATAAATAATTAATCACAAGGCGCTACATTAGCAGATGCAGACCGCAAACTTGACACGCCACTCGCCGATATATTGCCATCGAAATATCAAAACGTTGATGTATGTGAACTGTTCCCCGACTTTCGGCCAAAGAAGGTGCTGCGCTTTTCACGTTTATTTGGACCAGGCAAACCAACAAGTCTACCCCAAATCTGGAGACATGTGCGGAACCGTCGTCGAAAACGCAATCACTCGCGTGATCACAAAGTAAGGACTATATGTCTATCCATTTCTATGTGTTATAAATTTGTAATCTAATGTGCTGCAGACAACAAATACTGGCGGATCAGACTCCCCAAGCGATACGGAGGAGCCGCGTAAGCGGGGTTTTGGCATCAAATATGGGCCAAAGCCCACGCCAGCGCAATGCATGTCGGACGATGAGGACAAATTGCTTAGCGATTTAAATAGCGAGGACGTCAGGCAGGAAGGACCAGACATGGTGCATAGCGATCAGAAACCAAAGGTAGCAGACTGGCGTTTCGGACCAGCACAAATTTGGTACGACATGTTGGATGTTAGTGAGTCTGGCGAAGGATTTAACTACGGCTTCAAAACGAAATCCGCGCAGTCATCTTCTCAGTCCAAGGCCGCTGCTAATCAGAATAATAGCGAGCAATTGGTCAGCACCGAAAACGTTGCAGAACTAGACATTGCAGACGATGCTTTCTTAATGGTATCCCAATTGCATTGGGAGGACGATGTGGTGTGGGATGGCAACGATATTAAAGCCAAAGTGATGCAAAAGTTAAATTCAAAGACGAATGCGGCCGGTTGGTTGCCGTCGAGCGGCTCCCGTACTGCAGGCGCTTTTAGTCAGCCCGGAAAAACGTTGCCCGTGGGAAATAGTAGCGGTAACAGCAAGACTCAAAATTCCAGCAGCTCTACTAAAAAATCACAACAAAAGTATGTTTACTGTTCATTGTCTTTTTTTTTTTTTTTGCTTCTGAAGACTCGATCCCATGGTTTTAATTTCTGTTTTAGTGCTCAAACCAAGCAAACCGAAGTTCCTGATGATACTTGGTACAGTTTGTTTCCGGTGGAGAACGAAGAGCTAATTTATCACAAGTGGGAGGATGAGGTTATTTGGGACGCACAGCAAATGACGAAGCTGCCCAAACCCAAGGTGCTTACGTTAGATCCGAACGATGAGAACATTATTTTGGGCATACCCGATGATATTGATCCATCGAAGATAAATAAAAACACCGGACCACCACCGAAAATCAAGATACCTCATCCACATGTCAAGAAATCAAAAATTCTGCTTGGCAAGGCGGGCGTCATTAATGTGTTAGCAGAGGATACGCCTCCGCCACCACCCAAGAGTCCAGATCGAGATCCCTTTAACATATCCAATGACACGTAAGTGAATAAGTGTTCACCGTAGGTTTCAAAAAATTACATACTCGCTTTCTTACAGTTACTACACACCCAAAACGGAGCCTACACTGCGCCTAAAAGTGGGCGGTGGTAATCTCATCCAGCACTCGACACCTGTGGTTGAGTTGCGTGCACCTTTTGTGCCCACCCACATGAGTGAAATGAAACTTCGTGGTTTCCATCGTCCGCCCTTAAAGAAATACTCGCACGGACCGCTGGCACAGACGACGCCACATCCCGTTCATCCACTGCTCAAAAATATTGTGAAGAAAGCCAAACAGCGTGAGATCGAACGTATTGCATCTGGCGGTGGCGATGTCTTCTTCATGCGCAATCCCGAGGACCTAAGTGGCAAGGATGGTGATATAATCCTCGCAGAATTCTGTGAAGAATTCCCACCACTCATCAATCAAGTGGGTATGTGCTCGAAAATTAAAAATTACTACAAGCGCAAGGCGGAGAAGGATAGTGGCCCGCAGGATTATTTGTATGGAGAAGTCGCCTTTGCTCACACCAGCCCCTTCCTGGGCATTCTACATCCTGGACAATGCATCCAAGCAATTGAAAATAATATGTACCGTGCACCCATTTATCGGCACAAAATGTCCGAAACGGACTTCTTAGTCATACGCACACGCAACACTTATTGGATACGTGCCGTGAATGCTATTTTCACGGTCGGCCAGGAATGTCCACTGTATGAAGTGCCCGGACCAAATTCAAAGCGTGCCAATAATTTTACGCGCGATTTCCTGCAGGTAAATATATATCTAACTACTTTTATGTTACCCAATTAAACTGTGATTTTTCTGCATTTGTTAGGTCTTCATTTACCGTCTATTTTGGAAAAGTCCCGACAATCCGCGCCGTATTCGCATGGATGATATAAAGCGGGCCTTTCCCTCCCATTCGGAGAGCAGCATTCGCAAGCGTCTGAAACAGTGCGCGGATTTCAAGCGAACAGGCATGGACTCCAACTGGTGGGTTATTAAACCAGAATTCCGCCTGCCTTCCGAGGAGGAAATACGAGCCATGGTTTCTCCGGAACAGTGCTGTGCCTACTTCAGCATGATTGCGGCCGAGCAGCGTCTAAAGGTGGGTTTGATTACTTAAAATACTTTTTTTTTCCGATCGACTATATGTATATACAAAGTTCGGCTATTTGCGAGAACCTGTAACGACCTTTATACTTATCTGGCAGTTTCCCTATGCGCTTTGGTCTTTTCGTTTTGAATGAAACTAATGATCACATTATCCACAGATAATACGAATCAGGGCAGGATTTAAACTGATATGCTTACTTTTTTCTTCTTACATTTTCGTAGGACGCTGGTTATGGAGAAAAATTCCTTTTTGCGCCGCAAGAAGATGATGATGAGGAGGCGCAACTCAAGCTGGACGATGAGGTGAAGGTGGCGCCTTGGAACACCACACGTGCCTATATTCAAGCCATGCGTGGCAAGTGTTTACTGCAGCTGAGCGGTCCCGCTGATCCTACTGGCTGTGGCGAGGGCTTTTCGTATGTGCGCGTGCCCAACAAACCAACGGTGCGTATCAATTGTGTAATTTATTTCGTATTTAAATAATCTTCCACTAATGACGCCTCCGTAGCAAACTAAAGAGGAGCAGGAGTCGCAACCAAAACGCACTGTGACCGGCACCGATGCCGATTTACGTCGCCTGCCGCTACAGCGTGCTAAGGAATTGCTCCGCAAGTTCAAAGTGCCCGAGGAGGAGATCAAGAAACTGTCGCGTTGGGAAGTCATCGATGTGGTGCGCACACTCTCCACCGAGAAGGCCAAGGCTGGCGAGGAAGGCATGGATAAATTTTCGCGTGGCAATCGCTTCTCGATTGCGGAGCATCAGGAGCGCTACAAGGAAGAGTGTCAGCGCATATTCGATTTGCAAAATCGCGTGCTAGCTAGCGCCGAAGTATTGTCCACTGATGAAGATGAATCGTCCGCATCTGAAGAGTCTGATCTCGAGGAATTGGGCAAGAATCTTGAGAACATGCTGGCCAACAAGAAGACTTCCATACAATTATCGCTGGAGCGTGAAGAATTGGAACGTCAGGACCTGCTCAAAAAGATAATGCACGAGCAGGGCGATGGATCGAACAAGAATGCAAAGGCCAAGGACGACGGTACTCAACAGCCAGTGACAAATACGAATCAGGGCCGCATTCTAAAAATCACGCGCACCTTCAAAGGCAATGACGGCAAAGAGTACACACGCGTCGAGACTGTGCGCCGGCAGCCAGTTATCGATGCGTACGTTAACATACGAACCACGCGCAACGAGCAGTTCATCAAGCAATTCGCCACGCTTGACGAGCAACAGAAGGAGGAAATGAAACGCGAGAAGCGTCGCATACAGGAGCAGTTGCGTCGCATTAAGCGTAACCAGGAGCGCGAACGGCTGGCACAATTGGCTCAGAATCAAAAGTTACAGCCTGGTGGCATACCAACCTCTCTAGGTGATCCGAAGAGCTCAGGCGGCTCATCGCACAAGGAGCGCGACACCAGCCACAAGGAGGTCAGTCCATCGCGCAAGAAGTTCAAACTCAAGCCAGATCTAAAGCTGAAGTGCGGTGCTTGCGGCCAAGTGGGCCATATGCGCACCAACAAAGCCTGCCCGCTATATACGGGCATGCAGAGCAGTCTGTCGCAGTCGAATCCCTCGTTGGCCGACGATATGGATGAGCAGAGCGAGAAGGAACTAAATATGGACGATGACGATTTGGTCAATGTGGATGGCACAAAGGTTACGCTAAGTAGTAAGGTGTTGAAACGTCATGGCGACGAAAAACGCCGCAGCGCTTTGATGCTTAAGGTACCCAAAGATTCCATGGGCAAGAAAAAGCGCCGCATGGGCAACGATGTGCACTGCGATTATCTGCAGCGTCATAACAAGACGGCCAATCGCAGACGCACCGATCCCGTTGTGGTCCTTTCTTCCATCCTAGAACTTATTCTGAATGAGCTGCGCTCCATGCCAGAAGTAACACCATTTTTGTTTCCAGTCAGCGCCAAGGTAAGTCAATCAAAACAGAAAGAGACTTATAACTTTAAAAAAAAAAAATAATAATTTCCACAGAATGTGCCGGACTACCACCGCGTCGTTAGCAAACCTATGGACTTACAAACTATGCGCGAGTATATCAGACAGCGTCGCTACACAAGTCGAGAAATGTTTCTGGAGGATCTCAAGCAAATTGTGGATAACTCGCACATCTATAATGGACCGCAGAGTGCATACACCGTTGCCGCTCAGCGCATGTTCTCCAGTTGCTTTGACCTGCTGGCGGAGCGTGAAGACAAATTGATGCGTCTGGAGAAGGCTATCAATCCGCTTCTAGATGACAACGATCAGGTGGCTCTGTCGTTTATCTTTGAGAAATTGCATACACAAGTGAAGCAGGCGCCCGAAAGCTGGCCGTTCCTTAAACCAGTCAACAAGAAACAGATCAAGGATTATTACAATTACATAAAGAAGCCCATGGATTTAGAAACTATTGGCAAGAATATTGAAGGTGAGTGCAATTTCAATTTCTAAATTCAACATGTACATTCGTGTACATAATCTTTATTTTAGATAGCAATATAAATCGAATCAATACACCAATAGCTTCAAATTCTTTTATTAACATATCAACCATTTTATTGCAGCCCATCATTATCATAGCCGCGCTGAATATATGGCGGACATTGAGCTAGTGGCCGCCAACTGCGAGCAGTACAATGGTGGCGAATCGCGTTACACAAAGTTTGCCAAAAGACTGGTGGAATATACGCGGACGCAGCTGGAAGAGGCAAAGCTCAGATTGCAATAAAGCAATAGATAGAATATTAAATATGTTTTTCTTTCTATAGTTTGCTGAACACTGTGCACAACTCGAGGAGAATATTGCCAAGACACAGGAGAGAGCGCGTGCCGATGCGCCCGAATTCGAAGAGGCCTGGGGCAATGATGACTATGATTTCGGACGGGGCAGCCGTGGCAGTTCGCCGTGCGATGATTACATCGATGTAGAGGGCCATGCTTCCACATCTTCGGGTATACATCGCAGTATGGGTGCGGATCCATCGATTCACCATCCTCCGCCATTGATACGAAAGCAAACCCCGGCGGCTGGCGAAGTCAAACGGGGTCGTGGACGACCGCGCAAACAGCGCGATCCAGTGGAGGAAGGTATGTTGATTTATTTCTTACAAATATACACATTCAGCAAACGCTCCATTATATTAAATACATCATATAATTTTTAATCAATCGAACTATTGCTTAAGCTACCCCCTACTTCATATTAAAGTAACTTTTGGTTATGGTTTGAAGAGTTGGATCACTACGCTTCTACTAATAAATTAAAACCGTTTTCGCTTTGGAGCTGAAACGAACAGCCAGTTGGTTTGTCGAAACCAAAAAGTCTAATTTACAGATAATAAAGTTATATGCCAAAACTATCCAAAAATATCTATACTATGTACAATTTAGAATATTTTTTCTATCGTATCGCTGCTAGGCATGCCAAGTTTTAAAGCTTCTGTAGCTCTGTTTTATTATTATTATTATTTTTTTTTTTGAAGCAGTGATCTATCAAACTGCTAACGATTGCATGCATCATATAGCATTCGAAACATATGGAAGGGGTTCTATTATAATCGCACTCACATAACAACATCCGAAAAAAAAACTATAGAACTTCTCATTTTAATGTCGACAAACGTGATGGATCAATAGAAGTTTTTAAAAATTCACTCCATTACCTACCATCGTTATCAAAAAAGCGCTTTTTAATTTCAAAAGCCGTCTTTGCTGTGTGTCAAATGATTTTTTGTTCATGTTTTTTTAATAACTCTGAGAACTACGTGGCCAATTTGTTAGTTTAAATTCTGAAAGTCGTTGCTTTCAATTGTTTTGTTTTTGAACGTTCTCCTCGATAAATGTAATTTAAAAAAAGAAAAACAAAAATAATGTCTAAACTATGAAGATGCAAATCGAAAATGCAACCTTTTTATATTCTAGTCAAAAGCCTGAATCCCGTTAAACGTGGTCGGGGCCGTCCGAGGAAGGACAGCCTTGCCTCTAACATGAGTCAATCGCAAGTTTACTTTCTGGACGAAGGTAAGACTTAAACAAGGAGTAGTTTAATCAATTAGCGGGCCACAGCTAAAAGCGCGCACACTCTCACAAACACCCACCCACCCACACACACACACAGAGACAAACACAGTCGCACACAAAATTTGCACTTTGCACAAATACATACATACATATACAGAAATATACCAACACACACTCACACACACAGACACACAACCGCTTACCTCTTACCCTTACCTGCTTAACTGCTATTTTTAACATTTCATTTCCTTTTTCGTACTTAATCTAGCATTGGTTTGATTTCCTTTATTTCCATTCTAATTTATAAACATCATTGTTTATTCAAAGAGAAGCAAAAATAAACCGGATTTGAAAACATTCATCGTATGTGTTACTAATATGTATTTGTCTTTATTTAAATAATTTGGAAAAGTATTTATTTCTAAACTCTTAAAAAAACCTTATTTTAATTTTTCAGAGAGTGGTGGCGTTTTCGAACATTTATAACACTCTCTGAAAACATTTAGTATTGTTTGTTTTTAGTATTCCCACCTAAAAAGATTTGTTTATATCATAATATGTTTTATTATTTCAGTTCATGGTAATAATGTCAATGCGAACATACAATTTAATGACTATACATTAAAACACCTTTTCTATTTGTCCCGCTAAAATGTTCACAGACCTGCAGTGTTCCACAGACGAGGAGGATGACGACGAAGAGGACGAGTTTCAGGAAGTATCGGAAGATGAGAATAATGCAGCCAGTATTTTGGATCAGGGCGAGCGCATGCAAGCGCCAAATGAAACTATGGACTACATTGATCCGAAGAACATTAAAACCGAGATCGATATTGAGGCGCAACAAATGGCAGGTGTGTAGAGGGCCGGCAATTGGGCCAAAGATTCCCAGAAAGTTGTCCAATTTCATAACGAAATAACATTATCTTTAACATTCTCTGTGTGCTTGAATTCTGTTTCTATCTCCATGCATTCAATTTCTCAATATGCGTGTATGTGTGTGTGCTAACTAAGTAGAGGAACAGACCGGCGAGGATGACAGCCAACAGGCGGCTGAGGCTATGGTGCAGTTGAGTGGCGTTGGCTTTTACGCTCAACAGCAGCAAGGTGTCTAAATTCCCTGAATTACCAAAAATATGATTGCCCTCTAAATTAACCCTTACCCGTCTTATTGAACTATTTAACTCTCAATTGCCTTCTTCAACTAATACGCCTATTTGTTTTACAGACGAGTCCATGGATGTTGATCCCAATTACGATCCGTCCGACTTCCTCAACTTGCACAAGCCCCGGGAGCCGTCCAGCAGCTCGAATGCCTTCGCAGACTTCATGTCGCAGGCCCAGGACGACAATGGCCAGTTCAATCCGAACGAGGCCAGCAGCAGCTCAGCGACCAATATGCCCCAGAATGAGGATGAGTCTGCGTCCACGCAAATGCCGCCTAGCCTGCCTGCCACCAGCAACGACAACGGCGGCATGGGCATCGATGAGGATCTGGATATTTCCGAGAGTGACGAAGAGGATGAAAACGGCGCTGCGGGTGGCGTGCGCATCAAGAAGGAAATTTTCGATGACGGCGATATCGAAAACAGCATGGCAATAGCTTCGTCACAGCAATCTCATTCTTCCCAGTCACAGATGTACCTCATGGACTCCATCAACGAGCAGATGCAAAACAATGAGTACAACATGCCGCAGCAAGATTATCAACCTGCCCCCGAACAGGATCAGTTGCCAGAACAGGCCCAACAATTGCAAATGGCCCAACAAGCGGAGCAGCCGCCGGATGACAACGATTACGATGATTGGATGAAATTTTAGAGAGCATTGCTTTAACTTAGTCATAAGATTTTACTTCCAGCCCTCTTCGATAAGAGAAAAGTTCAATTTTGTTAAATTTTATATTTAATTTGACAAAAACAAAATAAAATAAAGATATTTAAGATAAGGCGACTCTAAAGAGCATGATTTCATTTAACCATAAGATTGTAAGGTACATCTTTTCCTCTTTGAAAAGAAATTAATTTAAGTTTTAAAGTTTAATTTGTATTTCATTTGACAAAACAGTTGTCCTATTCGGAAAGGAAAACAATATTGGTTTAATATAATATACAATATAAATAATAAATGTACATCTTTTCTAAAAACCCGGTTTGAAAATAGAGATAAATATATAAATTGTTAAAAAAAAAACTAAGGAGCATTGATTTAATTTAATCATTAGCTTTACCTGCCTTTCTAAGATTAATCTCAAAGCGCTCCTCTCGCTTAAGAAAAAATGTACAGTTTGACATGAGATTTAATTTAATTTGAATAAAAAGAATAAAACAAAAAATATGCTTAACAAATATTATTTTAATCTGCAATATTTAAATTGATTTAAATCATAAAAAGTTGGTTTCTACTTTATTTTCGTAAATATAGTTCGAGAAAGATTGTTTTTAATTTTTTTACTAAATCCAGAAAAGAAAACAAACAATAAAATATAGAAATACAAAATCGATCGTAGAATGTTCTTTTCTTAATCCAGCAATAAGCCTCAATCCGGATTCTAAACATTTTTGGCAAATCACATCAATTTATATGTCAAAGCCTACTACAGTTATACAATTTTCACGACAATTATTTCTTAATTACAAATCTAAGCATGCAAAATTGAAATTGAGAAAGAAATAGTATATTGTACAACATTTATTTAATGTTGGGAAGTAAAATCGTATTTTATTTCGCCAAAATCCTTGAAACACCTTTGTACTAAGAGCAGACAAGTTTGGTGGTATATTTCTGAATCTTGAGCTGTTATGGTCTTTCATTTATGTTTTTTATGCTGGACAGCCTTAGTTTGTACGCATTTATGGAATTTCCAATTAGATATGTGAAAAATAATGCGCAGAGCAGGAAACTAGAAGAGAGAGGGTTTCCTCGTAATCTGAAAAATTGTTAACTCTAATGCTGCCCTTAAATTGTAATGTATCTATACTGTAGATATGGAATTAAAGATTAGCCATCGTTGATTGCCAATTATAAAATGCGGAAAATATCAATAACGACGATCCTTTCCAACATTCATTCATACATACTTCTTGCCCTCCATCTAGGTAGGTAGGTACATAGGTGCGGCAGCCCGAGTGTAAGTCCTGACTCACTCAGGCCACAACAATTAGGACCATTTTGGTGCCGCGTGGACAAGTCCACTTCCCATATCCCCGTGGTTGCCTCCATTTCTGCGCATATGTTACATCCATCCGGATGCCTGCATGCATTTGAAAATGTCTATCGGTTTCTGTTTGCTGGTGGCGAAAGATTTGGGATGAGGCTCCTGGAAAGCGTTGTCTGGTCCTTAACAAGGCTGAGCAGTCGTAGAAGAGGTGGATTACTGTTTCCTCCTCTTCCTCATCTCTACAACTTCTACAGAAGTCGTTGTGGTGAGGTCCTAGTCTAGCGGCATGGGTGCCAACCAGCCAGTGCCCCATGATGGCTCTGATTACAACTGAACATGGGCTTCTGCTCAGCTTACAGAGTTCTGAAGATCTCCTCTTATTACGAATGGGCCACGTCTGACGTGTGATTTTGTGGTAACCTGTGTCTTTGGTCCACATTTGATTTGCAATGAAATCGAAGTGGTTCCATACTGACAGTTTGCAGTCCAATTTAGAACCGGCTGTAGATTTTCATTGAATTTCTAGGGCCTAGATGGCCAGAACTACATTCTTCCCTAGAGGGAATGGTGGTGTGAAAGGGAGTGCACAGATACTCCTTGGGGGTACGGTAGTCAGAGACTGAGGGGATTATGTTATTTATGTCATTGGCGTGACCAAAACATTCTTCTGACCATTGGTTGCGAAGGGCCGCCAGCGTGACGTTCATTTTCCCCATAAGATGTATTGGGAGTATTCCCAGAATCACGTCTAGTGCGTTGCTGGGAGGGGTGCGAAGGGCACCCGAAACCGTTAGTTCAGCCTGCCGTTGAACTTTAGTCTCTGGAGAGACGAATTTTTTGGTCAGTGATAACCAACATATAGAGATTCCATATAACAGTATGGGTCTGATAATTGCCGTATATAGCCAATGGTCCGTTTCAGTCCGATGGATTTCCTGGAGGTTTAGAGTCCGACTGTGGTTTTCCTCACTCTGTCTTCGATGTTCAGCTTCCAGTCCAGCTTCGTATCTAGTATCAAACCTAGATATTTGGCTGAGGTGCTGAAGGATAATGGTACCCCATTTAGTCGTGTGTTATTGGAAAAGCTCGTCCAAACTTAGAAGTGACGACTGCTTTTGGATATTGTTAAAATTTACAAGCCTAATGGGCTTGGCTCTACTAGTTATCCGATATTTAACAAATTTTTGCCAATAAATGTGTGCAGCATGCAGCTTCCCAGCTCGTAAATAAAGCATAATCTATCCTTTAATAATTTCACCTGATTTCTAATTGTTGCTTTAAAATTTGTCCTTTTTTTGTGGCTATGTTACAAAGTGCACAAAGTTCCAAGGTTTTAGCGTTGATAGTGTCTACGAATATAATCGTAACCATCAGCTATTTAAGCTGAGCTCAGCACGCTTAATATTAATAAATTCTCTGGCAATAAGCTTTCCCAGAGATGATCAAATGAAATGAAACTAGGCTAAATAGTTTAAGTTTAGAATGGCGAATCACAAACAATTTTATATATGTATTTAGCTCAGTTTTACAGTCATCAAGTGTTGTTTGTTACAGTAAATCTTCTACATATTTAAAAAATCAACAAGCATGTGTAACAGTCGTTAGTGCGGCGCGCCATTTACGCCCGCTGTTCTATATTGCTTCTGAGAATTGTGGATAGTGCTTCATGTAGGCCGCTGGAGATAACGCAGCGTTAGTGCAGCATAGTGCCTTACAACAGCTTCAGATGGCCTGTTACACGATCAATGTCCGCCGCAGCTGCCGGTCCCACGGCTAACACAGTCTTAGAGTTCGGCTCGATTTGTGTGCGTCCGGCGTCGCGTATAAGGCAGGTGTTTAGCTTGTGCTGCTCCGCCGCCCGCTTAATGGCCATCAGTTCTGCCTCACTCTCTACGCGCAGTGCGATTTTGGCACACCCACTGTTCTCCCAGGCCCGCAGCAAGCGTGGTGTGCGGGAAACTGCCGTCTGATAAGCGCCTACAGCTCCATGGCCACATTGGGCGGCTATCTTTCCCTTCCCCATTTTTAGGTCGTTGCGCACCACCAGCACCATTTTAAAGTTATCATTGAAGCCGACAAAGGTCTGCAAATGCATACTTATTTCGCAAACCAATTAATTACAGTGGAGCACAGCACCTCTCACCTTGTCAGCCACTGCGGCGGCAGCAGCTCCACCATCCGCTTCATCCGTCGCTCTGTCGATTTTCGCACATGCTTCTCCACGTTTTAGAGCGTATTTGTAGCCGACGAAGAATGACAACATCACAGCCAATCCATTTATAATTTGCGAAGTATCGAGCAATTTGTCACCCATGATATAAGATACTGTAGCTGCGCTAATATAGATTTTAAAAGTCTTCAATTATAGAAAATTGGCTAAAAATGGTGTGCGCGCCGGCACTGGTAGACGCTAGGAGGTCGATACTTTGAAATATCGGTCGCCAAACACCAATCGATACCAATCGATATGATAGTCTCCATCTAAGCTCTGCGTTCAGGGTGACCATCTTTTAACACTGTCTTAGATTTGAATGTGTCTGTTAATTTATTTACATTACAAAACTTGTTGTTATGTGCGTCAAATATGCAAGTACATTTGCATACCGAAGAGTTAAAATAGTGACACATACATATGTTCATACCTATGCATACTATATTCTATTCGTACATTACGATTTTTGGTTGGTTTTAATTGATAAATTGATAAGAGAATTATGCTCTATTTTTTGAATTTCATGGGAAGACCTGTTTTTTTTTCATTTAAATTTTAGGAGTGCCTTTTTATATGCATCTTCTATTATACATATGTATGTACATATACATATGTATGTACATTTATTCTTCCGTTGCAGATAACAATGTGTACTTAGAATTGAATAAACACACATGCATACATACATATTTGTGAGTGGGAGAAATTCTATGATAATATATCTAACTTTTGCCTTGATACTAATAAAAAAAGTCCTCACTTTTGTGTGCTTGTATGTGCATATGTATTGAATTTTTTTTATTTAATTTTTTTTTTAATTTTTTGTGATTCCAAAATTGGCCGTACAAAAGAACTGAAATGTGCCAGCTTCAATTTGCAAAGATCTCGTTCTGAAGCGAGTCTCATGATGGGATGACGTAATGCAGACAAGTCAAAATTTAATATGTATGGTTACATTTTTAGTTTTTAGATAAATATTATAAATGAGAAACAATGCAATTCCTTAAAAATTAAATATTTACTTTTCCCTGAATTGGCGTATACATTTTTTGGCCATCGTTCATAGTTAGAAAATAATTTGTGACTCACTGTATATAAATACTTACATACGTAGGTGGGGAAAGACCCCTTTTTCTTATAGATAATATTTTCCTTTGTTCTATATCGATCAAATACAACACATACATATGTACATATGCATGTATGTACATACTTTTGTACATATGTATGAAAGATAAGAGTTAGGTATAAAAACCGGTGCACTGGTTGATTAACACGCAGTGTGCTCCACGCAGTATGGAGAAAAGTAATGTTTTCTGGAAGTTCGGGATCTGCCTGCTATCGCTATGTGCATTAGCGAAGGGACGTACCTTGGATCGCTGCACCCTGGCCCGGGAGTTGGACAATCTGAATGTGCCTAGACACGAGCTACCGACATGGGTCTGCATAGCAAAGTACGAAAGCAGTTTCAGAACTCACGTTGTGGGCCCACCCAATACGGATGGCTCCAATGATTATGGAATTTTCCAAATCAACGATCGTTACTGGTGTCAGCCCTCTAATGGAAAGTATTCAAGCAATGGGTGTGGAATCAACTGTGATGTTCTTCTGTCGGAAAATATTGCTGCATCCGTGCACTGTGCCCAGATAGTGAAAAATCAACAGGGATTGGAAGCTTGGTCGGTTTACAATCCCCATTGTCGCGGTCAATTGGAGAGCGTTGACGATTGCTTCGATAGCCGTAATTTTGTCGGTTCTGGTGGTGGTGGCTTTGGAGGCATGGGTATCGGCATGTACGGAAAGAATTAATTGGTCTAAGCTTTCCTTTTCTAGAAATGTTGATTCATTATTTTAAATAGCCCATTGCTATCAGTTTCTATTTCTTATGTGTATATGCACATATGGATGGATGAGTAATGCTAAGAATTAAACAAGTAAAAAACTAAAGTCGGGTGTCCCGACTTTAAAATACTCTGCACATATGTATGTTTAGAATAATTAAAAAAAATAAAAAAAATTAGGAATTAAAAAGTAAAAAAAACTTCTTGTTAAATCTATCTATCATAGTGAAACTTGGCATACGGACACATAATCACTAACAGGGGGTATTTGGAAAATTTGAGTTAGAGAAAATCGCGATTTGTGTCGGAGAGGGGGGAGGGAGGAAATTCCAAATTACACATTTTCTGCGTATTCACATAGGGTATCCTGGACTAAAATTTGGTGTCCCTCGGTTATATGGTCTCCGATATATAGGTGATTATACGAACGGAAAATCGGGAAAACCCCCATAGGGGGGAAGTAAGTGGGGAAAAATAAATCAATCTTTCACAGCGTACACACATAACGCATCTTTGTGCAAAGTTTGGTGTCTCTAGCTCTTATAGTCTCTGATCTGATCAAGAATATATATACTTTGTAGGGTCTGCCACGCCTTAATATACTCGTGTACATTTCATGTACAGAATACAAAATGTTATCATAAATTTTTCTTTGTGTATGTTTATGGTATGTCTAATATAAGAGGGCTGTCAACCTAGCAGCAGCAAAACGATGTCCAATATTTCGATACTTTTCGATGCATCGTGACTGCGAAACATCGATAAAAGCGATGCACTGATAACGCGCCCATCTCCAATCACGGACTGACGTGTTACCAACGTTGGCCGTCCGGAGCGCTTGCAAATTGTCATTTTCATTTTTTGTATTCGTGGAACAAAATTTTCGCGACAACGCTGAATTTGGCATTAGGTATTTAGGTGAGCTTGCCATAAAGGAATCACAGACGAAAGCGCAGACATGGGCATCGCTAGCATTTTGCAGCTGGACGAAATGATGGGCGATTTTAATCGCATGAACAAACGCCAGGTGGGTAGCGCTGCTGTCTTTTAAAGGTGTTCAACATGGGCCACTTATGTTTTCAATTTTTATGTGAACTCCCAGTCACTGTATCAGGTTCTGAGCTTCGCCATGATTGTCTCGTCGGCGTTGATGATCTGGAAGGGCCTTATGGTTGTGACGGGCAGTGAATCGCCCATTGTTGTTGTACTAAGTGGCAGCATGGAACCGGCGTTCCACCGTGGCGATCTACTGTTCCTCACAAACTACAAGGAGGAACCAGTTCGCGTGGGCGAGATCGTTGTGTTCAAAGTGGAGGGTCGCGACATTCCGATTGTGCATCGCGTGATCAAATTGCATGAAAAGTGAGTGAGTTGCGATTTATTGCTTGCACAAATTTATAATTGTTGATGATTTGCTTTACAGGGAGGACGGCACCGTCAAGTTTCTGACCAAGGGTGATAACAATAATGTGGACGATCGGGGACTCTACGCGCCCGGCCAGCTGTGGCTGACCAAAAAGGACATTGTGGGCCGTGCAAGAGGGTTTCTGCCCTACGTGGGCATCATAACAATCTTTATGAACGAGTATCCAAAAGTGAAGGTGCGTCGCCAGCAGCCGTAGCTCTTTGTTTATACAAAAAATTAACTCTCCACTTCCCCCATTTTGTTTTCAGTGGGCAATACTCTCGATACTGGCCATCTTTGTGCTGCTGCATAGAGAATAGAAACAGTATACTGCTAGGTACAATTTTAAGTCGTGTGGCGCGCATAGCGATGCGGAGGAGGTGCACAATCTCAAGCCTGTTTGCATTTGAGTTTACCAGTCGATAAATTTCGTTCATTGGAGACACACACATACACAATTAACATACCCGAAGCATTACAGCATGTTTGGAGTGTTTGGAGCTGAATTTCAATAAAAACAAAATATATTAATTTTTAAATATGTAAATTAGCCAATGAGCATACGTTTCATTTTATTTGCTTGCTTCGTAGCTCAGCAAATCACGCTTTAGTTGTGCCCCCCAATGATACTTAACATCGCCATTCTTCGAAATAATGCGATGACAAGGAATCAGCACAGACACCTCATTACTCGCCACTGCACTGGCAACGGCTCGCACAGCCTTTGGACGACCAATCGACTGCGCCAATTGGCCGTATGTGCTTGTACTGCCCATCTCCATTCTGACTAGTGCGTTCCACACGTCCAGTTGGAAATCCGTGCCCCGTGCCGCCACCTCCAGCACAACTGCATTTTCTTTGTCACCGCCACCAGCTTCAAATAGTTTGTGGCAGCGTTTCTGGATCTGTACATCGTCAGGTATAAGATCCGTCTTCGGCCAGTGCTGGTGGGCTTTCCTCAAGGCTTCCTCATCGCTCTTCTGCACGAAATACAAGAAACAGATGGCGCCCTGGTCTTGGTTCAACATTCCTATTAGTAGCCTTCCGAACTGTGCGTCCACGAAACCATATTTGACTATTTTTGGCGGACTGAGCAGTGGAATTAACGAAACTCTTAAGTTCCTGTTAAACCACATCATGACAACTTTTGCGAACAGTTCAATGAATGAGCAGCTTCTTAAATATGTATAAATTCTTTGGTGGTTTCTTTAGTTCGTAGCGCCAGCACCCTTCAACAATTTAATATTGTTTTCGCTTGCTATGTTATTAATTGTGAAATTATGGAGGAATGGTTTCTGGGAAAAATAATGTTGAATTATTGCCAGCGCGGTTTAACAACAAACGCTTTTTGATATTTCGGAGTAATACGGCCACACTGAATACAGAAGCACAGCTGATTGGGCCTTAGAGATGACAGATATCGCGATTTTAGTGTCACTGTGAAATTTAATTTATTTATTAAATATTGAGCATATCAGTGTAATATGAATAAATAATAGAAAAAATAATATTACGCTTATAAAATGATGTCTAAATAAATATATTATTCCATATTTTTCCTAGCTTTTGCGGAAAATGTTTTTCACCAAGTATTTTCATTTCCCCTTAGCATGTCTAAAACTTTTTAAATTATAAATAATTTGAATTTTTTTCACATTTATTTGTGTGGTTTACGGAAAAGGTATTTTTTTATTATAAATTATTTGATTTTTTCATTAAAATGTGTATTTTGTATTATACATTTTAGATTGTTAAGCATTTGATCTTTATTTTTTCATATATAATGTTGTTACACCTAATATGCTTAAAAGGCGTAGATAACACGCGTCGTTGTTTATCGAAATGTATATAATCTTTTTTTTAAGTAAGCCATTTAAGTTCGTCAAAAGTCAATATTACGAGTACTTTATCGATGAACAACATTAAGTAAAATACTATGACAGCCTCTCTTAATATATAAACATTTTTTGTTTCAAACATCACTGTTGACTTTCTCCCTAATATTAGCATCGATGTTTTTTTGCGATGCATCGACCATGCATCGATTTTTTATAAAGAGACATCGATGTGCATCAACATCGATGTTTTTCCTTCGATTTACATCCCTATTGGCCGTCCGGAGCGGTTGCAAATTGTCATTTTCATTTTTTGTATTCGTGGAACATTTTTGCGACAACGCTGAGTTTGGCATTAGGTATTTAGGTGAGCTTGCCATAAGGGAATCACAGACGAAAGCGCAGACATGGGCATCGCTAGCATTTTGCAGCTGGACGAAATGATGGGCGATTTTAATCGCATGAACAAACGCCGGGTGGGTAGCGCTGCTGTCTTCTAAAGGTTTTCAACATGGGCCACTTATGTTTTAAATTTCTATGTGAACTCCCAGTCACTGTATCAGGTTCTGAGCTTCGCCATGATTGTCTCGTCGGCGTTGATGATCTGGAAGGGCCTTATGGTTGTGACGGGCAGTGAATCGCCTATTCTTGTACTAAGTGGCAGCATGGAACCGGCGTTCCACCGTGGCGATCTACTGTTCCTCACAAACTACAAGGAGGAACCAGTTCGCGTGGGCGAGATCGTTGTGTTCAAAGTGGAGGGCCGCGACATTCCGATTGTGCATCGCGTGATCAAATTGCATGAAAAGTGAGTGAGTTGCGATTTTTTGTTTGCACAAATTTATAATTGTTGATCATTTGCTTTGCAGGGAGGATGGCACTGTCAAGTTTCTGACCAAGGATGATAACAATATTGTGGACGATCGGGGACTCTACGCGCCCGGCCAGCTGTGGCTGACCAAAAAGGACATTGTGGGCCGTGCAAGAGGGTTTCTGCCCTACGTGGGCATCATAACAATCTTTATGAACGAGTATCCAAAAGTGAAGGTGCGTCGCCAGCAGCCGTAGCTCTTTGTTTATACAAAAAATTAACTCTCCACTTCCCCATTTTGTTTTCAGTGGGCAATACTCTCGATACTGGCCATCTTTGTGCTGCTGCATAGAAAATAGAAACAGTATACTGCTTGGTACAATTTTAAGTCGTGTGGCGCGCATAGCGATGCGGAGGAGGTGCACAATCTGAAGCCTGTTCATTGGAGACACACACAAACACAATTAACATACCTTAAGCATAACAGCATGTTTAAAGTGTTTAGAGCGTGAAATGTGAACCGTTTGGAATCGACTGCACTAATTGGCCGTATGTGCTTGCATTGCACATCTCCATTCTGACTAGTGCATTACACACGTCCAGTTGGAAATCCGTGCCCCGTACCGCCACCTCCAGCACAACTGCATTTTCTTTGTCACCGCCACCAGTCAAATAGTTTGTGGCAGCGTTTCTGGATCTGTGCATCGTCAGCTATAAGATCCGTCTTCGGCCAGCGCTGGTGGGCTTTCCTCATCGCTCTTCTGCACGAAATACACGAAACAAATGGCGCCCTGGTCTTGGTTCAACATTCCTATTAGTAGCCTTCCGAACTGTGCGTCGACGAAGCCATATTTGACTATTTTTGGCGGACTGGACAGTGGAGTTAAACAACAAATGCGTTTTGATATTTCGGAGTAATACGGCCACACTGATTGCAGAAGCACAGCTGATTGGGCCTTAGAGATGACAGATATCGTGATTTTAGTGTCACTGTGAAATTTAATTTTAGTTATTAAATATTGGGCATGTCAGTATAATATGAATAAATAATAAATAAAAAAATATTACGCTTATAAAATGATGTCTAAATAATTATATTATTCCATATTTTTCCTAGCTTTTGTGGAAAATGTTGTTCACCAAGTATTTTCATTCCCCCTTAGCGTGTCTAAAACTTTCTAAAAGAATATCCAAAATGATTTTGAACAATGTGCTTCAGACTTTATAGAAGAATTTTCCCTTTCACATATTAGTTTTATTGATTAGAAGACCACATAAAAATTAAAAGAAAAGTTAATAGACAATGATTCCTCAGCTATCTTCAATTGTTGTCTCTACACACATTTTTTGTTCTTAATTTTACTTAAAACCTTGAAATGGGCGGCATGTACACACAATGTGCTTGTCTGTTTCTACATTCCGATAAAACTAAAATAGTTTAATTTATATTCAATCTTGATTAAGCAGCAATCTATAATGTGGTTTTAAAAAGTTATTCATCATTTCAACATATAAGTCGATGTTGGTCAAGACGTTTGATGAATTTTTGTCAAATGCTTGCAAATTCGTCAATACATCAAAAGTTCACAATATCCCCCGAAAATTGGAATCTTTTGCACATGCGAAAGCACAGGGTTTACTAATCCCGTTATCTGTCAACATGTTATGTCATCCATAATAATTGGCTTACGTACTTTCCTGCCAGTTAAGTTGTCCTTCAGAAGCATTAAATAAACATGGGAATACAAATAAAAACTGAAAACATACCTGTTTAACAAAAACTCAAGAGAAAATTTATGAGCTATATTAAAATGAAAAGTAGAAAATGTATTCCTCCCAATTAATGGGAGAAAAACTAACACTTTATTGTTGCTAAAGTTTCAGAATCACTTTTTAGACATTTATTAGCTCTCTTGGTCATTCATTCTCTACCTATAGGAAATAAAACTCAGCTCGTTTCTTAGAATACTAAATAATTTAATCTCAAACTGATACAATTTTGCTCTAAATCTTAAGTTTAAGTTTTAAATCAATTTTATCTTTTGGCAATGCCTGGCTAGTTGTAATTTTTTACCTTTTATTTAGGGTTTAATATAAGTATTGGTTAGGGTTTCAGACAAAAATTCAAACCGTATTGTGTGGATTTCGTTAACTCGTGACAAATCAGATTACAGTTAATCGTGCTCTAATTATCCCGACAGAGTTATAGATGTATTTAAAGTGTGAGAATTGGTTCGAGAGAGTTAATAAAATGCTTCCATGGCATATCTCACAGTGTGATTTCATGGCATCGAGTTATGTAGATATTTTCCCGACTAAAAACTTAGCACAGAAATGCCAGATGATAATTATGGTGTTAATTACGTTTTAACTTGGATATTGGAAAGTTGCCTTTAATTCTGTTCAAACTCCAAACAGATGGACAACATTCATAATATATCTATATATATATCTTTTTTGTTATTTCTAGATAGTTAAGCATGTAGAGTTAGTAATTTTTCCAAAAACTGATTTAAAAGTTAGTTAGGAAATAATTAAAGAGTTGGTATGAAACTCAAAACCATTTGTGGTTCAAAACTGATTCAAAAAACTAAAAATTGTGTTTAACAGCAACAACTACTAAATAGAATTAAAATAATATAATACGAATATTATACTCTTGGCTAGGTCTTATTCCCTATTTCCTAAGGAATATAAAAGGCAGCCCTCGTATTAGCTTTTTCCAGTAATGAGTACAAGAATATACATTTTTCAATCAATTTATTTATTTTACGCTTCTGTCTTGTACAATTAAAATTAGATTACATTATTAATATTATATTTAGGACTAGTTTAAATATACATACAATACATAAAGATTGATGTCCGTTAACAAAAACAAATTACTTTGCGGCTCTCTATCAATAGGTGTTTGCTGTTTGCTTTTGAAAATGAACGCTTCGGCCGAGTTCTTAAAAATTTTGATTTGATTAACCATTGTACATATTTGATGAAAAGTTAATTGCTGTGAGTGCTACAGTAAAACCCTGAGTTTATTTTAATGCTAGTCTGTAGCTTAGAATTGTTTTAAGTACGGCGACGGTCACACAGACAAATAATTTGCACGAAAAAATTTGTAGACTTTTGAAATGAAAGTTTACAGAAATGTTTGTTTTAGATGAGCAAATGTTGTTTTCTTTGTGGCAAACTTTCAAATCGCCATAATTTGCGTGCAGATAATTTGCCTGTGTGACCGCAGCGGAAGTGTGCGTTTATTTATTTACAGAATAGAATAGTGTTTAGCAGCAATTTAGACAAATATGGCACCTGATTCCACATGCACTGCAAAGTTACATTTATTTAGCTAAGATTTGATTCATTGTTTTGTACAAAGGAAATGTTAAGTGTTTTTTTATAGATATTTTCTTTAGATTTTGTAATTCGCTATAAATATGACATATTGGTTTCTATTTGCTATTTTACTTTTCATTTTACTATTTTCTTATGGTATCACAACAGAATGCGGCAACATTTGGCGGTTTTATACAACCACAATAATAACAACAACAGCAACAACAATAACATGAATGGGTGGTGATGGCGGTTGGTGGTTGGTGGTGGTGGTGGTGTTGGTGAGGAGCTAAAATTCAACCACATTGGGGGCGTGTTCAACTTTGCTTCGCCACAATTGTTGTTGTTGCTGTTGTGGTTGCTGTGGGTGTAGACAGTTCGTTGTTGGCCATTTCGGGTGATTTCAATTGGAGCTCTGTTTGGGGCTGTTGTTGTTGTTGCTGCTGCTGCTGCTGTTGTTGTTGTTGTTGCTGCTGCTTCTCACTGTTGCCTGCGGGCGTGTTGTGTTGCGTTGTTAGAATATCGGCGGGTATGAGACCCTCTTTGACACGCTTCTTCTGCTTCATGCGACGATTTTGAAACCATATCTTCACCTAAAAGACAGATGCAAGTTGTTAGATTAGTTATGTTTACAGTTATATAATAAATAAAGCTAGACGATGCCACTTATTCCACCACATCTCATTTAATATCAGCTACTCTATCAGCTCTATTTTTTTTTGTATTTAAAAATTCATTATTATAAGTAAGCCACTTTTTTTACATTTTTTTTAATTCGTTCATACTCTTAGTTACTCTTAGTTACTCGGTGCAAAATATTGTTTTTTAGATTCTGTTATATTCTCAGTGCTATTCTCTATAAATAACAATATTCCAACATCTTTCTACTGGACGAAGCTCTGCAGCGTTCGGTGTATTCTATTCTTGAGCATAATTTTAAAAATTATTTGCTTTCCTACAAAGCTATAGTCCATCGAGTATAGTAGGAAGATGCTAAATCGCTTAAAAATATTGTTAACACGCTAGAGACTCTTGTATGCGCATTTATAGTGCCTGATATTTTTATATTAGAATAAAAAAGTCTGTCAGATAAGAACATTTATATAATTTTTTCATTTGATTGCCAGTATAATCTTTCAGCTTTGTACAAAATTGTGGGCTTTTGTCATCCATATTTTAACTATAAGACTATATTACTGACTTTCACCTAAATTGTAGCCATTTAATCAAAACAATGATTATTTTCAACAAAAACATATAGACTTAGGAACTTCATATTTTATCTTTGGAGTACGAAAAGAAAAAAGAAAAGTACAGTATAGATGATTATTATGGAAAGGTTACATTTGATTTAAAATGTTATATATGAAACATAGAAATAATACTTAAATGGAGCGTGTTATGTAATCTACATATTTTAACTACGATACTATATTAAACTTTTGAACTTTTGAAAAAAAAAATAAAATACTCTTTTAAAAAAATGGATGCCTTTCACCTAAACAGTATAGATGATTATTATGGAAATGTTACATTTCATTTAAAATGTTATATTTGAAACATAGAAATAATACTTAAATGGGGCGTGTTATGTAATCTACATACTTTAACTATGGCATTTGTCATCCATATTTTAACTATGAGACTCTATTAAGCTTTTGATTAAGAACTTTTGAAAATACTCTAGAAAATACTCCTTTAAAAATATGGATGCCTTTCACATAAAATATAGCCATTTAATCAGAACAATAAATATTTTCAACAAAAGCATATAGATTTCATATTAAATCTTCAGAACAAGAAAAGAAAAAAGAAAAGTACAGTATAGATGATAACTATATGGGTTATGTTTAAATCCAGATGCTATATTTTAAGCTTCAAATTCAAATCTACTATATAGTATATACTTGAAAATTCCTGTTCTGCAATAAGTTTAAGTCTTATAAGTGTAGAGAATTATTAAGCTGCTAAGATTTAAAGATTTCTATTGTAAGCATTGGGGTTCTACATATGATCATTTTAGGGGAGTGTGACTGTATTGGGGTGGAGGGATAAATTTTGTACCCACCTGTGTCTCATTCAGCTGCAGCGTATTGGCGATTTCGATGCGACGCGCACGCGTCAAATAGCGATTGAAATGGAACTCCTTCTCCAGCTCGGTCAACTGTTTGTTGGTGAAGTTCGTGCGACCCGAGTTGTTGGTCGTGGCTGCCGACAGGCTGCAGCTGCTCAAGCCAGCTCCGCCCGCGCCTCCGCCGATGCCCACGCCCAGACCGCTGGCTGGGCCGCCCGGTCCGGCATTGTTCGCTAGCAGCAGGGGATTCTGGCCGGACAAGACGTTGCCACCAACGACAACGCCGCTGCCATGGCCGTTGCTGCCGACGTTCCCGACGCCGCTGCCACCGCCGACGCCGACGCCGCCGCCCCGGCACATGTCGAGCTGTCCGTTCAGCTGGTAATCGTGTATGGTGGCAGGTAGCTTTGGTGCTGCAAGGTAGGGAGGAAAAGAGGGAAAAGATTGAAAGAATTCGTCATTGAGGAGGCTGCATTTGTTGTTGTTTTTGTTGTTTGTGTGGTGGTGCGGTGTGGTTTGGCTGTAGTTTGCTGAGTGATCTCTTGGCGATGATCTCTCGCTGTCGCAGCTAATCAGTGTGAGACCCTAAGAGCCTAAACAATAATCGTCGTCTCGTGAGCATTGAGGTGTGTTTGTTTTCGGGGTTTTCTCTGGACAGTTGCCAAGGCCCGTGCCTTCCTTCCCGGGGCAGGTTTGTTGTTTCATGTTTGTGTTTTGTGGTTGTTGTTCTTGTTATTGTTTTTTGTTTCTTGTATTTTGTATTTTGTGTGCCTTTGACTTTTGCTGTTTCCGTGATTCTGCATTTTATTCATAATTTGACATGCGCCCCGTGGCTAAAGCTGACGATGATGAAAATAATCTTTGGTTTTCACAGAAGGATTCAAAGCGCTTAATAAGTTTGTTTGAAAATACTTTGGGATAATCCTGACAACAGGGTTGACTCGTTTTATTTTTGTGGGCGGTTCGAAGATAATTTAAAGGCACGGCATGAAATTATTCATATCTATGTACGTGTGTTGCAATTTTTCATTTTTCCCAAAATCGTTGGGAGTCAACGCCTAAAAGATAACTGTGCAGAGATTTTCCAACTGCAAGTATTCTTATGCTATTAAGTGTCCTTCTAATGAACTGAGGCCTGTGGATTGTTTTTGCAAAAATGCAATTTTGAAAAGGTCAGAAGTAAGTGTTTTCAAAATTAATTAAAAGGCATCATTTCTACTTATCTTAGTATGATTTAAATTCGTTTAAGTGATGCATTTTATGAAAAATTTAACACCATATATATACTTGTAGTACATATGCGTATGAGTTTTGTTTAAGAATCGTTTCGAATGAATTTTGAGCAGTAATTATAAATTATTCAGAAAGAATTCAAAAGTTTGACTTACAACTAGAAACCTTTTTCAATTTCTTTGCTATAATTATTCATATTTCTTCGCAGAAAAAGAATAACTTACACATATATTTATATGATTTATACTAATTTAAACATAAATAGATATAGTCTGAAAAGCAAAAAGAAATCTTAGTATTTTAATCAAATATCTCTTAAATTGAAATGTGATAGAAATTATTGTTATCAGGCATGCAACAAATTTAACATTTAAAATAAAGAAATAATCAAAAAGTGAACTTTTACACTAAATTTGTTCAAATATCAAAGTGCTTTTTGCAAAACAATTGATTCAATATTTGTTTGCCTGAACGCTGCTTAAGTTTTCATAATTTTAAGAAAGCCTTTTATTTGGTTATTTGACAAACTTTGATTGCATAATAGGCACATAACTAGAAATATGAGAATATTGAAATCAATAGAATTTATGTATTTCTCATGTGCTTTAAAAATGTACATTTACAAATTATCACTTGTAAGCAAAAGTGGGGGGCTCTAAAATATTTAAAATAATCCCATTTTAATGGAAGCTTCAGATTCCAGGGCGTTTGGCTGAAGGAATAAAATGTTATTAACTCAACTATTTTCCTTTATACTGTATCTTTTCGTTTAATAGTCTATATTAATAGGGAGTGCATTCATTTTTTATGAAATAAAATACTATTTTTATGATGATTGGATGGTAACGAAAATGTCCAATTATGAGAAGTCTTGATGGTTGATTGTTAGGGAAAGGAGAATTATGTAGGTGTTTTCAATCAAATTTAAAGATTGTATTCCCAACAATATCAAATTTCGTTGTTTATTAAATATAATTATTATGCCATTTTCATGGCAAGATGCTGAAATACAAATATAGATCTGCAGATAGTTTCCAAATTGATTTTTAAGTATTCGTTCTTATAAGTCTTAGATAAACAAGTATGTTCCTTTTAGCAATACCGAATTACAAATGAGATATGCAAACAGTTTTCAAATTGATCACTAAATTAGTTAGTCTGCTGTATAGTTCATAAACGCTATTTGCCACCACATACATAAATTAATAAGTATATTGTAGATTTTAAAAGCTGTTAAGTCGCCCTGCTATATACATTTCGCATAAATTATTAGCAACTAACGACACATAATTGCTCATTACGGGGCATTATTGGCGTTAAAGAGTGCTGGATTGTTGAAAGCCATAGTAATTAATTTTTATTTACCTCCTTCGTACATTTGATTTCGGCAATTGTCGGCCATAAATCAAGTTGGCGTAATGATAAGTTTACGCAAAATGGCATTTTCATAAACAATAATGAATTTATGGCACCTACAGCAACAAGTCAATTGGGATCAGAGGCCAGATGCTAAATGCATTTTGTTGCACAGTAGCGTGCACCTTTTGTGGCAATATTTGTGGAGTGGCAGGCCATGATAAGCCCCTGGTCTTCCCCTGTCTCCCTCTCTCTCCCTCTCACTCTTCCTCTGTAATGTCTATCGTAATGCACACGGCAGTGTCTTGAGTTCTTGAGGCACATAAGTAGCTATGAAAACAAGCCAAAGGATTATGTCGTGAGTGCTGGCTTGGGCTACATTTGAATTTTCCAGCAAACAGACAAACAAATGTCGCCGTCGGCGTCGGCATTGACGTTGCACCATGGAATGAAATCAGAAAAAATTTTTTTAAATAATTTTTTTCTTTTAATTTTGGTAATTCCCCAAAAAAGTTTTTTTTATTTTAAAAAAATGGTAGAGTGCATTTTATTTGTATAATTTTTTTCTTTTAATTTTGGTACTTCCCCAAAAAAGTTTTTTTTTTATAAAAAAAATAGAGTTTTTTCTATGAATAAAGTGCTTTAAGCACTATAATGATAAATTCTAGTTTTTTCTTTAGAGAAAATGCGTGTAAAACGACTTATTGAAATGCAAAAATCGGAAAAGTCAACAAATTTGAGAAAGTACGGGTAAGGCAAGAGAGTTGTTTACAAACCAAGTTCTTTGCCGCTAAACCGTCCCAAACGATATCGAGAAAGTATCGCAAATGGATGCAATATTGGCTATAAAGAAAGGGGACTTTGATGCCACAAGTTAAGCGACAGGAAATATACATATGTACTTAGTATAGGGCACTTTTTAGAGAGCTAAGAGCTTTGTCTGAGAAGACTATAGTACGAGAAATTGTCGAAAACAGAACCGCCCTGAGTTTTGTTAATGCAAAGAAATAAAGTTGATCATTTTTCTTTTCTTATACTTTAAGACAACTCTCTATTCTATACAGTGTCTATGTTTATTTTCTTCTACTTCTCATTATTAGCGAATTTTTAGGACTTTAGCGGACTTTTGAGCGCGTTTAGACAGGTCAGCAAATTTTACAACAGAAACCAATCCTGGACCACCCTATATCTAGCTTATGAAAATATAAAATTTTTCAGGAATTTTTAATGAACTTTCAATTATTAAATTTATTGAAGTAGAAAGCTTATATGAACTTTCCAGTTAATATGTAAAGATGAGCTTTTTATATGAATCCTGGCAACTTAACTTTCGTTTGCAATATTAAATTGTATTGTAATACTGTGAGTTTTTACTGGACTTTTTAAATAAGATGAGCTATACTATATATTTTTTTGTTTCCTTTGCCATCGGTCTATTTTAATTGCCAACTTCCTACATGGAAATGAATAATTTTTGGGCTATATTTTGAGCATTTATCCCAAGGTGGCTTGGCATCGGCGAGTGGCTGCATTCCGCTTGTCGATAGCGGTGCTACCGGTACATAAACAGAGCGGCCCCTGGTGGTTGGTGGTGGTGGTGTCGCTCGGCTTGTCAAACATGTCGCGGCCAGTTGGCGGCACTGTCGCTTTTACTGGCGTCCACGTCGTCCGGCGCCAACGATATCTACTTTGTAATATTAGTTTTAGAGAGCATTATCGGGGGATCGCTTCCACTTCAATGCACGCAATGCGCTGCTAACGTGTCGCCGCCGAATGGAGCAACCAGTCAACGTCACCCTGCTCGTCCACCCCTCCGCCCGTCTTCCTGAGCGCCTGTCCGCCTGTCCGCCTTCTGTTGACACTGCAGGAAAATCTAACTGTGGTTTTCCCTGCAAGGCCATCGCCAGCAACTACTGGGATGGGGTGGATGTGTGTGAGAGTGCGGGTGTGCGGGTGCTCTGGCGGTGTGGCACCATGGCGCTTAAGTGACAGTGTCGACAATCAATGTAAATAATAGAAGTTGCTGCAACAGCAGCTGTGGGCGGGCGGGGAGGGGTTGTGAGGGGCAGGGAGGTGAGTGGAGTGGAGTGCTGGACAACAACAAAGTCAATGTAATTTGATAACATCGTAACTAGCTTTAATTACAATTGCAGGTTTAATGCGCTTCTTGTTGACTCTGTCGTAGCTCCCAACCTAGCGCACACCTACCAATGCATAAATACTTGTAGATACTTGGATACACATACTATAAGTGCTTAATACGTATCTGTGTTATCGTGTGAAAGTTGAAGCAGAAGGAAGTGCCATTGTAATGTATTCATAATAAAATGTAATTGTTGTGTGGACAGACATTGTTAAACATTGACACCAAAACGCCAAATTGTAGAGCATATCTCTTTTGTTTGTCTGATCACAATTCTTTACTTCAGTCTCTGCTGTAACATTAGTTCGATTCTCGTGTGCTTGCCTACCAAAATTATTTCAAATAAATGAGGTATATAGTAAGTATTGGAGTAAAAAATTGCAAACAATTTTCTATTAATCTATCTTGATTAGTAGCTTATTATTAAATTAGAAAAAAGAGTCGAATGATGGAATTTAATTAAAAAATTAGGGCTTTAAACAAAATATTTATTTCTTATATGCAGCAGAGTCTGACAATTATTATTATTATTTTTTTACATAATTATGCATTATTATTATTAAGTAACGTGTTAAGAAATCAATTGTAATTCATCTAGCAGTTAGCAGGTCTTTGCTTAGTATTTGTCTATTATGTGAAGTTAAAGTTAAGTATCCCTTTCTTTTCAGCGTTATATGATTA